AATATCGCAGAAATAAACGTTATATCCCATAAATAAATAAATCTTCAAATATTTTCAAAAGATAAAATTTATTTCCTAGAATATTTATTTTACAGAAATAAGTTTTTAAATATTTTTTTACAATATAAAGAAAAAAAATATCTATATATATCTCGCAATAAAGGTAACCAAATCGAAAATTAGAATTTGTCACAAATCTCGAAAGTGCTAATGTCATCTCTTAATGCTCCTTGTACTACCCGATATATTAACGTAACACTACTAGACAAGCAGACAAATTTTCGTTTTGCCTTATTTCTTTATCGCGTAGACACTTTCTATTTCTCGACCAAAACGATCGGCAACAAATGTAAACATATTCCCAACGGTCGTCCCTAACGGCTATCAGTAAGCGCCGAGCGATCACATAATCAAAACATCCGGGACCTTGAAGGCGTCAAATTTACCTTTGTGTCTCGCGAATTTTTTCAGATGTTCCCATTCAGTTCCGGGCCGGCGAACGACACGCACACAACGGTCTACGTGTATCGGTGTGTTATCTACTGTTTTTCTGCACAATCAAAACATACGGGATCTTCGAGCCAATCAAATTTACCTTCGTGTCTCGCTGACTTTTCCGGATGTGTTCATTCAGCCCCGGACCCGCGAGCGACGCACATATCGTGGACTACGTGTGTCAGTGCGTTATCTATTATTCCTCTCGGATAATTGAAGTATTTCGTCGATACTTTGAGATACTAGATTAACTCTCTCGTCGACATCGCGTTATTTAACACTCGTATCGTATTAAATCGTGTCTACGCGAGTGTCAGTGCCAGTGCAATTGCCACAACAGAGCTGTCAGGATACTGGACCGAGGATGGAGGACGCAGGACGCCAGGGCGCGAGCAGCGATGCATCATTTAATTTCAAGGTATGCCAAATCATTTATTACACGGGAAGTTTTTTAACAGGCGTTTGATTAATTTACCGAGAGTACAGAAATACACCCGAGTCGAAATTTAGGCTAGCATTCATAGTCAATCATCACTTAACAAGTAATAAGCTTATAGTAAATCGGTGATTGTTTATCGTACCTGGACTTACTATATTAGTTCATACAAGAAAAATATTGATTCAGACAGCCGCACATAACAGTTCACGAATACAACTGTAATTATTTTTATCAAAGATCTGAAAAATAATTAACAACTATGAATATCGGCCTTCAAATATAATATAAACAAGTGTTGATTTTTACGTCTAATAATGCTTCTTTGATCGCGAATTCGCTGTTGTATTAGCCAGCACCTTTTTTGGCTTTTGTTTAGCCTTTGTTATTGTATCGAGCCTAAAGTTAAGTCACTATTAACAAACAGCATTATTAGATTATAACTGTCATTTTTACTCTTTCAGCTTTATATCAGCTCTTTTAAGAGCTGATCTCAAATCTCATCAAAGCTTCCTTTAACCTCTTCAGTGGTAATTTAAAGTGATTGCGCGATCTTCCTAAGATGTTTTTCTTTTTTAAAAGGGGATTTTTTTTAAATACCAGATATCCAGATTTCTTATCTCTTTATTGCTATTTTCTTTGAAGAATTTTGATAGATAGAGTACAAAATATAACTATTTTGCATTTGTATTTGCTATTTAAGTAAATTAAAAAGAATTTATTATTTTATTACGAAACTTTTTCGGGTATATCACTTAAGAGGTTATTAAAAAAAAAAAAAAAAAAAAACAAAAATTAAGAAGAGATGAGATTAAGTGTTGTTCTTCTGGACCCATTTAACCACACATTAATCCTTAATAAATAATTTACCATCTGCTTATCCGATCTAAAAAAATGTATATAAATTTCGTCCGAATATAGCCGTACTCTTTTCGCCAATTACCAATTGCAATCGTGTGTATATTTGCCAATTAACATATTAAGGTACGATGACGTCACATCTCGTTTATTTTGTTTGTCAATTGTAGCTTATCTGTTAACGATGGTGTATCGAGCAATTATTAAACGATAATGATTTGTGACAGAGATTTTCCGTTCGAACATGCAACTATTGTAAATGGCAATTGACGACTGATTCTTTATGCATCGAATGCACCCGTGCGCGCAATTTTTCGACATCTCCCTACCGTGGAAGATGCACCGGTGGAATTCGATATTCACGCCAGGATCCCCTAAGGTAAGTGTCAAGGTAGATGGTGGGGACATCGCTTGTGATCCATAATTTGGTCTTGTTTCTGGTTGAAAAGTCGTCAGATAAAGCATATAAGAGCGATATTACGTGGAATGTTCCACGATTCATCGGTTATTCTGGGATATACAGTTTCAAATGACTCCATTTATACGTATTTTGATTCTCTTCGCGTGCGCATGTTTCGTACTTGTGAGACCCTCGACATTTCCGATACAAATGTTGCTTCCTCGTGCGAATATAGCCGCACTTCGCTCATTTCCAATCGCGTGTGTATCACACATTCGCCAATTAATATACCGATGTATAATAATGATCATACTTCGCTTATCGAACAAGTATTGCTATTGGATGGCAAAAATCACTGAGATCGTGATTTCAAAATGACATTTTGAAAATATAATTGCATTTAGGAGACATCATTTATTTTTCACTTAAATTTACTTTATTTATTTTATTTATTCAAAAATTCTTCTATTTTTTGAGTCTGCCAAATAAAGGGTTAATTTGAAATGTTAGATAGGATTCTTATTTCTTTTACACAAATACATGTTATGTTTTTTGAGGTTTCCTTGCTTAGAAAGGCGACTATCGCGAATGGCAGTGAGGGAGTGTTGATTCTGGTGCATTCGATGCGTCCGGGTGCTTAACTTTTCTGACATTTTCTCCGTGAAATAAACAATCGCGACGTGCGTCTCTCTCGACATTTTGTTCGAAAACATGGAAAATATTGAATTTTGAATGTTTGCTGTCGAATCATGGTTGTTCCACATTCAGAGAAAAAGACTTAGTGATGTCAGTTGTATAGGTGATAACTATATATGAGCTTTGTATGTAGAATTAGACTATATACATTACAATTCTACATACAAAATTCGTATAGCTGTTATCTATATAATTGCTATTAAAATATTTTTCTCTGAATGCAAACGGCTCGCAGTCTAAATATAAAATTTTATTAAATTATATTGAGATAATCGCGCGAATATTAAATAATTAAAAAATCATTAAAATTATTAAAGATAATTAAATAGTTTTCGAGAGAGAATTAAATAATTCCTGAACGAGTGCTTTTTCGAGCTTCTATAACGTGAAGATACCATTAAAATATATTGAGATAATAGCATAAATATTAAATAATTAAAAAGTAATTAAATTTACTAAAAATAATTTAATTATTAAAAATAATTAAATAGTTTGTGAATCAAATAATTCCTGGACGAGTGCTTCTTCGAGTTCTTCGAGTTCCTTGAGTAAGTAGACGACACATTCATCTGCAGCATCAAAGTAAGTCAATAGTTTGTACATTTCGAGATTTTTCATTGACTCTTTAAGTTCGATGGAATTTGCAGTGTCAATGTGGAATCAAAATTTCGACTCGGGTAAACGCTCTCAGCAAATCCTTCTCTATTCTCTAAAATACAATCAGTATATTCTTATGAAATACAATATTTACAACTGATAGTTAATTTAAAAGTATAGCACTGCAATAAGTAAAATCTCGCTGAAAGGATCAGGTTGCTAGTAACACCTGTTTCTATTATTGACGCAGTTTTCAAACATAGACAGTGTCATTACATTCAGATCGCAGAAAAACCGGTAATTCCATCGTTACAAGTGCAGAAAGTTAGATTTCATACGTATAACGAATTTGTAGCATACGGATTTTGTAGTTCTTCCGTTGTGCTCAAAATCAGTAAGATATAAGCAGATATAAGTAAAAGTGTTTCTACTGAAAATCAACGATTATTCACTGATTATTGATATTCACACTGAATATTCGTTGATCATCAATGAAATGCTCTTTTTACTGATATCAGAAACATTTGTACTGATTCACTTTAAGAGAGTAGGTTGAAGGATCGTGGAAAATTGAGATCCGTCGTAATTTCCACCAACTACGGTATTTCTGTAGTCCGATAGAACGGTGTGCCTGTTTCTCACCGAAAATCTGGATCATCCCGTTTTCACGCGTGCCGAGCATGGTAACGGTGCACCGCGGTACCTGCAACTGGTTTCGGATCGGTCCATACGAAACACATCGGGAGATTACACGCGTCCCCAAGACGCGGCTACCAATTCGTGAGTATCGTACCGTGAAAGACACTTCTCACCACTTAACGGGTAAATTTGAGACGCCGTATAGCGTGTTCGTTTCCATGCTCGGCAACACGATCGTACCGATTTGTCACCCTTGGTGGACATCGATGCCATCAGAGGCCCATTTGCAAACGTCGGCCTTACCGTTCACGTCAACTTCGATAACGTTGTAAGAAGTGAAGCGTTCTCTACAGAATCGCCAGTAAACACAAGTTGTTTCATAAAAATTCTGTACTGAAAAAAAATACTGAAAAATTTAGTTGTAAGATATATAAAAGTTATTTCGCAGAAGTAAACTTTATTTCAGAGAAATAAATTTTATTTTACAGAAATAAACTTTATATTCCACAAATAAATTTTGAAATATTTGTTCTCACTGTGATGTTTCTTTACACTGTGATGAGAAAACAATATCTGAAAACTTATTTGTGACACATCGAACACTGAATGCGTTCGATGTGTCTAGAATATCTCATTTGATCATAATATCTATTACCCCCTGAAAAGCTGATAATAAATTTGACATCACGTATAATTCATTGAATTAATTCGGTCGTACTCAAATACAAGTACTTTCAGAAATTCACTTTTCGATAATCTAGAAGAATCAGCCTTCTGAGCACACGAAGATAGATCGTGAGCTCGTGAATGACTTTTATCCCAAAATAAAAAGTAGATTCGCTTGGAAAATCATTGAGAGTAATCCAGATAACATTTGCGTATAACGTGTGACATCGATTTATTTACAAAATTACAATAAATTACGATGAAAGTGGAAGTGGATCGATACGATCTCGATCAAATCAGAGTCACGCTCACTGGTTTCTCATGCTACAGATAAATCGACGCTACTTTCTACGCACGACGCGAAAAACGATATTAATAATAATACCGGAGATTTCAGTGTGTCCATCGAATGCCTTTTTCGCGATGTACACATACGTATGTATTTAATAATAGCTGCGAGTGACAACGTGTGAATAGTACAACTGCGTGTTGCACCAACAACCTATTCTGAAAATACAATGGCCGAGCGTGCATGGCGTCCTTGTCTAATCAGTATATCCTAAACAGACCTAATCGCTAGCAGCAATTAAACTTTCGACTTTCTCTTCAAATGCAACAGCTCGGTCTCTCTAGTCTAACATCTATCTCTAAACGATTGCTCGAGGTCCGAAATGAATTTGATTATCGACTACTCCATGTATACGTATAATTGAGCTATACACAAGACTCCTGAGCGCATTTTTTTTCTTTTTTAATTTTTTGTTTCATCTCGTCGCGAGAATCGGAACCAGAAGCACTCATGCCGTATCTTACTACATTGTCACGCGACACTTAGATAGATGAACGTCAAAACGAATTACAAACGGGTTAACGAGGACAGCATGCAAGTACGCTCTCGAGTGAGATTCGGGATATTACACTTTTGGCGGCTATATTATGCCTAGAGACATTAAATTACGAGGCTCGGCACTATGTCCCCCGTGTAGATACAACGACATGGGCCAGCATGCAATAATAGACTCAAAGCTCGTCTGCAATACGTGGAGTAAGCTTGGCGTAAGAAAAAGTTGGAGTGAGAAGTAAAAATAATTTATTTCGCCTACGCCTATACTCTAATTCCCTTACATCACAAGTATTTCTTAAGAGAAATATTTTTGGTGTAAAGGAGCTAGATTACAAGGAGGCGTAAGCGAAATAGATTATTTTCATCTTTTACTCCAATTTTTTTTTCACGCCAAGCTTACTCTCTTGCAGACGAACATTCATACGTGCGTCTCTCGTCGGGTCGTCGTCTCGCTTGTATCTTCTTGAACAAACATTTAATACATCGAGTGAATGCATTCTCACGCACACGGAGAAAATTAAAATTAGATTTCTTTTTGTAATTTTTTTCATAAAACTGGACTATATACTTAAATAAATATAATAAATTACTATGGTAAATTTGACGACCTACCTAATATAAAAAAAAACATTCAATTATTATATATTTTTTTAAGTCATTAACAATTATTTAATTAAATAATTTTGTAGTAAAAATTTAAACACGTGCATAATATTTTTGTACATATACTAATTTCGACTATAATTTTATATGGTCCAAGATTATAAAAAATTTTCTCTACAATATTTTCTCCGTGTAGAACGTGGCGATGTACATTCTACAAAAATACATGAAAGATAACTAGTTCACACGATGGAACTAGGTCTACCACACTTGATTCGTACAGGTTTGTGAAGACTATTGTCAGGCGCAATTGAATTCTGCATAGCCCATTGATATCTCTTTTACTCTTGATACTTTCGAAATAACGTGCGGCGGGAAAACGGGCGTGTGCAAGGAGATTCTTCCGTCGGATCGAGCTGTGAGCTTGCGAAATAAAGATACCATAGAAAATGAACCATATAAACGACAAGATAGATAAGAAATAATAGACGTTCTCACTTCTTTCTCTTGTCGCAGTCAGTAGTCTTTTGAATTATCAGTTTGTTCCGTTGTCTCGTCACCTTGGTGGTCGACCGAATGTTAGGCGCAATTTGCTTCAGTCCTTGCTGCGGGATTCTGCACGGACTGGCCACTCGTGGCGGTGTCGTGCCCTTAAGGAGCACCTCCACATCCGCTAGGCGCTTTTTCAGCGCTCTATTCTCTCTCTTGTATTTGGTAAGCTCGGAATCCTTGTCGAATCTCTCGTGGCCGGAGCTGCTGGTCTCCTCCGCTAAATACCTGAGCATGTGGTGTAGTTTCTCCTCGTATTGCCTCTGCATCAGCACGATCCTCCTTTTAGCCTCCATCTGCTGTGTCCCCATCTCCCAATCCTGGCTTGCGATGCGAGCCTCCAACTCTGTGATCTGCACTTCCAAATTCTTCGAGCTCTCCTTCAAGTCGATCACCTTGTGGAAATACTTAACGAATAATGTTATTATCTCGCCGTGAGAGAGTTTCTTCAGGCGTTCCATGAGCACTCGCTCGCCCTTCTCTCGTTGAGACTGGTTCTCGTAGAAGTCCTTCCGCCCGCAGATCATTTCGTTCTTGTGCTCGATCATAGCGTCGATAGCCTCGATTGTTTCTCCGCATTCCAGCAGTTTGCGTTCTTCCACCGTGGTCAGGGTCCTCTCTTTCTGAAGCTTCTCGTCTAAGTCGCATTTTTCGTCCACCAGGCATTCCCGGGTGCGCCTCAGGTTTCTAATTTCGTGACGTAACGCTTCCTTCTCGTCCGTGTCCGCGGTTCTCTCTAAGTCCATAGACTTTTCCTTCAGCACGTGGTCGAGATGAGAAATCCTCGCGCTAACGTCCAGCAAGTTCTTCTTGTCGGCGCAGTCGGCTTTCGACTTGTGCTGCTTCTCGTCCTCGCTCTCCGACTGCATCTCCTTCAATTTGGAAGCGGTCAAATTGTACTTCTCTTCGAGCTCGCGAATCTTCTGCTGATCTTTAACGAGCTCTTGTTCCAATTGCTTCTTCCGCTCTTCCTCCTTCTTTAGTTGACGCTTCAGTTTGTCCATTTGCTTCTTGGACGTGTTGAGCGAGCCCTCCAACTCTAGAACCTTCTTCGCGGAATCACCCGCAATCTGCTTGATCATATCGATGTCCATGAGACGCTTCTCGTAGTGTATCGCCATGTTTTTGTACAATTCTATCTCTTTCTTATACGCCGACTTCTCCTCCGAGTCTTTGTACATGGACGCGTTCTCTGCCTGCGCCAGTTGCGTCCTCGTGTTGTAGTACTCTTCCTCGAGCTTACTGCGCTTACGTAGAAATCGCTGCTTCGCATTGGCGCGTGTCTCGGAGTTCTTCATCATGTCCGCGATGAAACGTTGCTTGATTTTAATCGTCGTCTGCAGCTCTTCGATGCGCTTCTGCGCGCCGTCCAAGTCCGACTGGATCTTCTTCACTTGCGTTTGCTTCGCCTCATTATTCAACGTCAGAGTTTTCAATTCCCGAATAGGCTCGGGTATCTCCGCGGTCTTGAGGGCGTCGAGCAACAGATCTGGCGAATTGTCGTTCTGCATCGCTAGGAAATTGTCGTTGAGGTTCACCTCAGTCTCGCGATTATCCAGTACGTACGAATTCGTACGTTCAGTTAGGTGATTCTCAAGGATTTCATTCTGACAAGGTTTCCTGCTGTCGTTAAAGACCAACACTTCATTACACATGTCGGAACCGGGCAACATCGAGTTCCTCCGGGAATTTGGATTTCTTATTGGTACAGAGCGTGCTATCGGCACGTAATTATTGTTTACGGATCGTGCCGCTGAATGTATAATCTCGATGTTCATTCCTCTGAACTCATCCTTCTTAGAGTCAATCTCCCTGTCGGTATCTTTCTTAAACTTGTTGATGCATTCGTCCAGTTTCTCTAAGAAATCCGGGTTCTCCGAACTCGCGTCGCTCTGATCCTCTTCTTCCTCATCTTCGTCGTCCTCCTCCTCTTCTTCTTCCTCATCTTCATCATCGTCATCATCGGCATTAGACAGCTCGCTCTCAGAGCTAGAGGTGCAATTAGAATTGAGCTTGAGTTTCATTTGATTCGCAGATTCATCAGTCTTCTCATCAGTCTCCGTTACTTCCTCGATACGCTCCAATGATCTTCTTATATTCTCAGTGTAGCCTTGCATACTGGTGGTATCATCACCAGATATGCACTCCTCATACTCCTGCTTCATGCACAGCCATTGCTCAATTTGATCCTGGTCTGTATGCGGCAAGATGTTACTTGTCATGAGCTTTGTGAATAAACCCTCCGCATTGGAGACCAATTTGGACCATTGCGCAGCTGCGAACTCCAATCTAAAGAGATCAGCACTGGAACTACGTTCCCCAGAAGTAGCAGGTGTCACTGTATCATGTGCCTCATCCCCAGTCTGTTCACTCTCTTCCTCTGTCAGTTGGTGATGTTCATGAATCCGGTGTTGAAATGATGGTATCATGTTGATGTACGGTGCATAACACTGGTGATTGTCCAACATTGCTTGATGCTGAACCCACGGTCCGTAATGCATCATTTTACCCGCCTCATGCAGCACCATTTAACGAAGATCTCGTCTGCTCGATCAGCGTGGTAGGGACCTACGGGATGTATTCGAGCTGTCAGTTAAGTCGTCGGTGATAATTATGACGGTACAATAAGGAGCTAGCTAGAAGTCCTCCGAACTTACATAATTCCCCGTTTGTGCGAGATATTAGATTACAGAGAAGCAAATTTGTAATATAATCTTAGCGAATACAATAACAATTGGACATACTTGCCTAGGAGGTTCCTAACCTATCGTAACCTCCCATGTCTCGTTATAATTATGTTTTAGGCTCTATGGTCTCTCCATGTACACATATTCTCCAAGAATTGTTTGAACAGCTCTGTTTTGAGTGAATTTTTATTTTACAAAGATATAGATCATCGTTGCAGATCGAAAGGGTTCTTGTTCTGCGTTGTGAACCTCTGTTCCTTATTAAAGACTGCAACGGCTCGTAGCGGGGACCTTGTAATTGACGGAAACTAACGGCAGTAGTGATGAAAGTGACCATCGTGAAATATGAGCAAAATTTGACGGGTTATGACTATAATAAAAGGGACGACAGTCAGACGATTCGTGAAGCATTTGGCTTGAAGTGTCTACTTTCGAGATATCGAATTCATTAATTAATGGACCTTTCACAATAAGCTATTAATCATAAATCAAGACAACTTGACCAAGCACAGTCGATTATTTTTGAAAATATTCAATTGCAATTGATCAATTTGTTTGCTTATAACTAATGGCTTATTGTAGAAGGTCTATAAAATTCATTGTCAAAATTACAACCCGTTGAATTTTGCCTATTTTCTGCGATGTAGGCCGGTATTCATAGTCGGATCTTATATTTAAGACCGTCTTAAGATGCGAATACGGTTCTATGATTGGTTCATGACATCTTAAGACAGTACTTAAGATGATCTTAAATATAAGATCGGACTATGAATACTGACTATAGTAAAAAGACTTCTGACTGTCGTTGAATTATATTTAAGAAATAAAGGTACAGCTGACTCACTATTCGGTCACATCACTACCTTAATTTTTCGTTCGGGAAGTGGTGGCTCGTTGCGGAGGACTTCGGAACTAATTTCTAGAAATAACAGGTCTAATGGTATCTTGGCACCTTATATGTATCACAAATAATGCTCATAAATTTTGATTCTGTCCTACTTAATTGATCCAATTGCAGTTTATAATCTAATATAGGCATAAGAGTTGTCTAATAGATTGTTAGACTATTTTGTAAGAAAATGAGCGAAAATTTTTGACCCGTTATTTCTGGAAATTAGTTCCAAAATCTCCGCTACGAGTCGTTATTTCCAGTGGAAGAATTAAAATCGTGGTATGATTCAACAATTAATCAAATGAACTTTTCTTGTCAAGTAATATTAAATACTCAATAGCAAGTCAGAGGAACTTTTAGATTTTACATAGAAAAATTATTTGTACAGAAAATTACATGTATTTTTAAGTGAAAATCGATATCTGCAGAAAAATCGAAAACAGGCAGATGTCAATCAAAATTCGCGCTCATGATCAGATGATAGTTTCTGATGTTGTAGCAGCGCGAGTTCTGATTGGCTTGGGTCTTTCCGTTTCCGACTTTTCTACCAAGATGTGGATTCGCCCTTATAGTAGCGCTGAGGTGTGTGTTCCGTAATTGTGAACTTATTTTGGAGTGTTTATTTGCAAAACAGTCAGTAAAAAAATACTTTCGCCAAAATGACGATGGCAATGTTGCAACGCCGTGCTAACGTGAGTATAGAAAAAACTCGCAGTATTAATAGGTTACGACAGAGACAAATATTAACATGACCTAACCTCACTCAACCAAACTTAGCCCCTTGTTTTTTAAGACAAATGTTTCTTTTAAAGGTGAGGCTGCCTCCAGAAGTGAATAGGGTATTATATATTAGAAATTTACCATATAAAATTACAGCTGAAGAAATGTACGATATATTTGGCAAGTATGGTGCTATCAGGCAAATCAGGGTGTAAGTAACAGACTATGGTTAATGTGGTTGGATAAAGTAGTTTCTTTATTACACACAGATCAATTTTTCATAATAAATTCGATTGTTACTTTAGGGGTAATACGGCTGAAACAAGAGGCACAGCATTTGTTGTTTATGAAGACATATTTGATGCTAAAAATGCATGCGATCACTTGAGTGGTTTCAATGTATGTAACCGTTACTTGGTGGTTCTATACTACCAGAGCAATAAGGCGTTTAAGCGAATTGACGTTGACAAAAAGATGGAGGATCTGGATAAACTGAAGACAAAGTACAATCTGAACGAAGAGAAAAAGTAGTCGATTAAACTCTTGTGTAAGATAAACCGTATCATTTAAACAATATATTTATTAAAATACATAACATTTATACAGATAATTTACACTTAACTTTATATGATAAATGATGGAACAGAGAGTAGAACAGATTATTTGTGTATCTCTAAGTGGTATACTCTGTTTCAATATGGTTTGTACACTTTTTCTTTAATGCAGTTTGAAACACAGCTTATGTTCACAATAAGAGCATTTTTCTTCTAGAAATCATTCAAGGATAAGTTTTAGTGAACGCCAACTCTATTCCAAACTGCATTAAGATAACAAATGTTCAGATATATTGAAACTAAATATACAAGTACTGCTAGAGTACCAGATAACCAATAATAACATTAGTACTGAGATATTTGTATACTAGTGCTAAGTTATTACTAGGTTACTTGTACCTCCAAATAACACAAGTATTATAAGATAACTATAAGATTTATGTCGCGCGTTAAGAATAAACTTGTACATAGTTTGATAGATCCAAGACGTGCATTTTATTTCGTGTTGAGATGTTGCATAGTTAGGCAGGTATTTAAATCACTTTCCACTTGACACAGTCAGAACGATAATTGCATTTTACTAATTCAACCTTCGACTCGGTGTTAGGTTTACCGATTTCAGATACCGGTTCAATGTTAAATCCAACGTCGAGCGTACGTCGCGGGACGAGTACTCCCAGCGAGAGCGTATTTTCGCGCGGGACACGATTGCTTCGTGTTCCCCTCCTAAAAAGGTATAAAAAAAGCAGAGCGAAAAAATGTCGACGCATTAAAAGGCTGTAATTAATACCACTTTCACAGTCGGTCGCGGAGTGGCATTCCTTCGCTTCCACGGGCTCGGGATGATAGCTATAGTGTTGCCTAAAGCGCCGCTCACACCGTTTCGCGTGCAGGTATCGATGCGGCATCTGGTCTGAAAAAAATTTGAATGACGTTACGTCCGCTCGTCTCAATTAACGTTTTTCCCACACGTTGCTTCCTGTTCCCAATTAACGACTGACATTTCACAATTGATTATTTCGTAGTCGATGACTCTGTGTTCTATCGGCTTTAAAGATCACTTTGCTCTTAAACCCGCGAGAAATTTCACATTAAGACAAAGATACTCTCGATGAGAGGAAAGTGACGCAAGTTTTCCGAGGAATTTTTCTTTTACGCAACAAGCGTTACGGTTATTACGTAAGTGTCGAATATAAAAAAGTAATAAACTACAAGTAGTGAATTTTTTTTAATTAACAAACGCGTGTCTTGATATAAATTCTGTGATATAGCTTACAGTTTATTTTTATTTTAGCTTAGAACACAATCTCGTATACAAATTTGTAAAATCCCGACTCTTTCCCCGTGGCTTTAACATTATTAATTTTCAAATTTTCCTCTGCGAATTAAACTCTTTAACTGGAACTTCCTCGAAGTTCTCACCTTACGCTTATTCAATCACACAAGATGCCGCGGTTACGGCGATGCACGTGACTTTTGTTGATACGTGCGCACGTCACACTTGTCATTCATAAGTGACACGTGCGTAACTTAATCGCAACGCGGTCTCATCTGCACATCCGCGTTTTGTAAGTCGAGCTCGTGTATGATCCATTTACATACTGAGACCACGTTTCCCCTTTCTGCTCCCCTACATTTTTTTCCGTCAAAAACCGTAAAATATCAGCAATGGGGAAATTCTTTTACTTACATTATCTGCTATCTCATGATATTCATCATGTTTAATTAAATCGATAATCAATAAGCAACGATATATATATGAATAGCAACGATAGCGCATTTTTTTTGGTTGCATTCCAAAATGATAATATCGAAAACCCACATATATGTCAGAATTGAACGTTGCGTATAAATTAATACTCTGTCTACGTATAGACAACGTAAAATATACATCAGATATCACTTATCTAGACAGCTAGTAATCTGTGAATATCGTTTGAAGAACGTATAGGTTAAAAAATTAATTAACAAAGGTTCGTATCTTTATTGAATCTGTAGAATCTCGATAAAAACTTATGAACTTTGTTACCTAAATACAAAATTAAAATTTGCAGGATTCTCTGTGAATTTTTCTGTTTTTATAATTTTAATATAATTTATAATATTCTACGTTGCTTACATTATCTATAAAAAGACCATGTATACATCACGTAAATACTTTGCGTGAATACAATTTCAAAATCTACGGCACGATTCTAATATATGCAATGTAGAAACCACAGAATTTCGGTATTGCCTGTACATTTCGGAATGCAGTACAGTCGACTGATTAAGTGTAGTAACACTTTTCCTCGCTGAGTTTTGCAATATATTCCGCATTCCTATTGAAATGAGAGAACGCATCCACTGAGAATTATTGAACAAAATCTACTGAATGTGTAACGAAAAGCTCATCGAAAGTAAAATGTTGCAACTTTCGATCAGACGACTGTAGCTGAGAGAACTTGGCGCAGCTAATTACGGACGGATATTTCCCGGAAATTGCATACGGACGTCTCTTGTCTCCCGACAGAGCTTTCGCGAGGTGTTGTATGTATGTACATACAACAGCTGCAGACTGCGATCGCATTTCGTGGTCGGCGCGCGTTATCATTATCGGAGAAGGCGGCCCGCGGCTCGTATCGGCCGTGTCTCGCGAAATGAATCGCGGCGCGGGACCGCGTGTGTCGCGTGCATGCACGTACGTACGCACGCACGCACGCACGCGTGCGCCCACCGACGCACCCACACGAGCTGTCGCGGCCACGCAGGCGGCCGGTCTAGCCCATTCGATTTCAGTCGAAAGCGAAAACCCGCTTGGCGTCCACCGTCAAGTGTCGCTCGCTCACTCGCACATTTATTCGCTCGCTCGTTGATTCATTCACTCGTTCGTTCGCCCGCGAGGCATCCGCGCGCGCTCCACCTCCTTCACTACCACTACACCACCACCACCACCACCACCACCACCACCACGTCGTCGTCGTCATCGTCGTCGTCGGTGGCATTGAAAGCTGCTGGCAGGTCGCGCCGGGTCACCGCCGTGGCGCGTTGCATCCTGTGAACGACACTGGCAGCCGCGGTTCTCGCCAGCTGTCACATGTCGTACGATTGCTGCGGCGACGACGGCCGCGTCGCCGGCGACACGTTCGTCGACGTCCTGCGCGGCGTGCACCGCTACGTCCATGAGACCACGCGCGGTTTCTTCAGTTTCAACACGTACTATCGCTCCGGGCTGGCAGCCGAACTCGGTATCGTGGTCTTCTCCATCGTCCCGCTGCTGTTGATATTGCTCATCGCCACAGGCCGCATACTACGTCGCGCCGAAAATCACTAGATCCGCAGAGGGGCATCGTCACCGGCGGCACTCAACCGCGCTGTCGCGCAGCCGGGAGATAATGCCGACGTCGCGGGAGGTCGCGAGCCTTAGACTCCCGTCGGGGCGTTGCAGTGCGCACGGCGGCGCCGGTACGCCAGCTTCGGGACATTGGACGACGGGAAATGCGACACGTTCAAGGACACCGACGCGTTGCTCGCGGACGGGCCCACGTTGCGCTCTACAAAGTCACTAGAGCGTGTCACGACGGAGCGCGTTCGGCGACGACGCGATAATCGCCGATTTCGCGCTGTGGCGTGCAAGTAACTCCTGTCCACTCTCTCTTTCTCTTTCTCCTCCTTCCTATCTCTACCTCTCTCTTTCTCTCTCTTTCTCTTTCTTGCAAATAAATGTCTATGAGAGACGTGCATACTTGGCGTATTTCTGTCGATCTAACATACTCAGCGTTCGCCATCTACCCATAAAACGCACCGTGAGCTATAAATGCAAGTAACATCGCGTGTTACGAACAAACATGCTATCCCTCTCTCTTTCTCTATGCTCATCGTACACCTGGCCGCCCTCCCAAGGGCCCGGCGATTCCCCGTAATCGACCGGATGAAACGCGCTCGTCAGTAGTTTGAGCTATTTTTTCTCTCTATCAACGACATTCAAGGCTTGTTAAGCCTCGATTCGGTGGACACTTTCGGCACACCTCTCTGTCCCTCGATATTCGGCGAGCGGATTGCCCTTCGATCCAGCTCTACGTATCTGCGATTACGGCGTAACGATTCGCGTTACACGCGTAAGGGTCATGCGCGGGGATCCGGCGCGTCGCCTGGAAACGCGGGTGTAAGCATCGGGGCTGCCTTTGGCGGAGCATCGACTGGCGCGATTCAAACGTCACCGCCGCCGCCGCCGCGGTAGTTGCGTCGCCTCCGTCGTCGTAAAGTGCGGCGCGATTCGCGGGGGGGCGCAAGGTGACTGGCGAGTACAGCGCTCGCGGCCGATTCCAGCGCTGCCGCGGTTTGATTGGCGAATTAGCGCGGGATCACGTGAACGCGCTTGTCTTCAGTTCGAACGCGCGCGGCTATGTGCGTCGCGTCGGCCGCCGCGAAATCCCGTCGAACGCGTGTCACACTGGGTCCTCCTTCGTCATCCTTGTCGTCTCCGTCGCCGTCCCCATCGTCGTCGTCGTCGTGGACGTCGTGGAGCCGGGAAAGGCAGCGGCGCGAATGAAGCAACCGACGCCGGGGAGATGCGACGTCGTCAACCGTGTGGCAACGGACCGTTGCTCGTCGACCACTCGCCGGTTCGTATCGAGGTATGTGCATGCTTGCCCGCGTGAACGAACGCAGTCGTTTTCGCAAATTCGTCGCGAAATCCTTCGTGAAATCCCGGCAGCGGCATAGATGCGCAAGGAAGCGATCGTGGCATCGCGATTTGCCTTGCGATATACATCGTCCATTCCGTGCTCTCTTGCGTCTTGGCGCCATATTGCCGCGCGTTAACGGATTTTATGAATTTGCTTAATTGTGTCGACATGCTCGAATTCACGGTGGGAACGCGACGCTCTGGTCGCGTTGGGTAATTTGACAAGCGTTTATCCACGGAAATTTTTATCTTTACAGATCTTTCAAGCGTATATATACTAGTATATACTTTTCTCTGATACACACATACACATGCACACACACGTGCACTATATTATAATATAAATATTTCATTACTCAAAAATATATAATCTCATTCTTAGAGAATCCTCTTATTCACGGCCTCAAAAGCATTCGTTTAAAACCAAAAGGAAAATATTCGAAACATTATTCTTGAAGTTAGAGGAATTTCGTTTTAAACTTATTTCTCTTAGCTCCAAAGAGAAAAAATTAATATAATAAATCGAGTAGATTTCCAATTAATATAGTCTACTTCGTTAGAAAAAGAATACTTTCTTTCTATAAAAAGTTCTCCCCTAGAATATAAGATTACCAGAAATAGCACTTTACAACTAGTTTTTTTTTTAGATATTACTCGAATATTTTCTTTTTCCTTTTAGGAGAATATCTCCTCTTAAGGCCATATACACACACAAATATACAGGTACTCCGCTAAAAACGAAATTATATTTTTATCGCGTGACGTATTTAAAAAAAGACATGCGCAGATATATTGTTTAATGGCGCGTGGCGTTAAAAAAAGTTACAATGCCTGGCGAGGTATCTTGTGATCACTTATCGACGTATGATTGGGAATCGGTTCTCGTGTCGGTTAACTGAGGTCGGGCAGGTGCTTGTTAGTTCAGCGTGCAGGTAACTGCACAAGAGCGACAAGAGAGAATGCAGTTAAAACTGGATATCGTTGATTAGCTTCCATTTGTAAATAAACTCGTCACACTCGTTACCGGGTCTCCTCGTCGATTACCAGATGATATTATTAAATAATCGTGGAGATTGTCGAGCATTTCTCGCCGTAAAATTCGCACTTTATATTTGAGGATTTGCGCGTTGATAAGAATCGTCGCCGCGTTATATATCGTTCGCGAGATTATTATTATTAATCGCAGCTGTAAACCCGCGGTTTACTTCTACTCAGCCGAGACCAGCGCGAATGTGCGTTTTATATGAAATTACTCGGCATCATAAAAATACCAGTGCGACGTGTTTCATGCCGGTCAAGATACACGGTATTAATACGAACGCGTTCTTACGGTATTAGCGCGGTTCGCATAGAGATATTCGCAAGTATTTCCATCGACGCTATAAATATCGACGATAAAACACCTGGCTTTTATTACGTTCTCAAAGGACAATACCGTAAAGTATTTCTTTTTCCGTACACGTGAGCCCTCTAAAAGCAACGAGTCGAGCCTTCTTACGGATAACAGTTAACCATTTATCACTCCATATCACTCTTGGACTCGATTTATATCTGACATGAGAAGACATACAGACATACAAACGTGACGGTAAAATTGACGAAAACCTTTTTATGTAATATCGAAATTGTCACTCGTATGGATGACAAATATTTCATGTCCATCTCCGACTTTTTGAAAACGACTTTGAGATAAGATACTTTTTATTTATCGTTTTATCATTGAAAAAGTTTATCGTTAGAAAATTTTATCGTTGGAAAAGTTGGTTTAAAATCAAGATAATTTTTTTATTTCGATGTAATAGAATATACCATCAGTAATAATATCGCACAATTTATTTTTTTTACACGAAAAGAACATATTGTAGTATATACAATTTCTGCAATCTCTCTTAGAGATCACATACAGAATTATGACCGAAATTATTATATATTTGTTTAAAAACGTTTGACTTTTTACTATAAAATAATTGTAATTACTTGAATACTTTTTATATCGTATGTCAAATAGGTTGCCAAAAATTTACTATTTCTGTAATTTATTTACAATACTAATGGTGATTAAAATCGGGACTTTCAACATAGGTCGATTTTACAAGAAAAATTGTAAAATGAAATATAATTTCCACATATAATATAATTATTATATATAATTTCACTTAAATTTTTACTACAATATTTTCTCCTTGTACGCTCCTTATTCGCTGAGAGAACTATGCTGAGAGAAAAAATATAAAAAAATAAACAATAATTTAATGGGTATTAAAAATATGTTTATCTGTATTAATATACAGTTAATATACAGTATTAATATACAGTTTATCTGTATTTTGTCATTGAGAAAAATATTTTGTATATCAAATGAAAAAATATATTTTCCTGAAATATATTTATATATATTTTCCTGAAATATACACTACGTGTGTCTTTTTCACGAAAGCAATTGTTTATAAACAAACAGTTTATAAAAAAACAGTTGTTTATAAAAAAATTTAAATTTAAATAAATATGTTATGTGAGTGAACTCATCCTGAAATATTTTTTATTTTTCAAATATTTTTTCTCTCAGAATATTATCTAACTTAAAATTAACAATTTCAATGAATATAAAACTAGTAAACGAACTCAGCAAAAAGTTATATAATAGAGTTATTTTTAGAGTTATTTTTCGTAAAATATATACAGCGATTCTTATCTTCCGTGACAAGTATATTCGCGCGGTGCTTCTTCTCCGACAATACATCGACATCGAATTTTCCGGGAATCCCGCGAGATGGACCGGCGCGTAAATTCTCGCGGATTTGCGGAAGTGAAGTAGTTAAAGACGCAAAAAGCAGGGTTTCAATCGTAAACGTATGAATAACTGAGAAATTACGAGTTCAGAGAGAGAGAGAGAGAGAGAGAGAGAGACAGACAGAGACAGAGCAGGAGACAGAAAAGCGTGGTTTGCGTCCGTGCGCCGGAAGGAAGAAACGAACTCGCGCAGCGGCGATACGCCGCGCGCGATCGAATACGTTCCATCCGAATCTCGTGAGAGATCGAGTCGCGCGGCTGATCCGCGTCGGGTTATATATCCGGGGGGTATCCGCGCGGTATTCGGAATCGAGCAGGTGCTCCCGCCGCGCTGGGTACTCAGG